AAGTAACAATAATAATTACAATATAAACCTTTGTTGCCGGTAATGGGACCCTTCCAGCCTAGTAGTAATAATAATAATAGTAGTGGAAGATAAATCTTTCAGGTTTCAGAACCTGTTTCAGCCACATAATAATAATAATAATAGAGGTTGGGTACTGTGGCTTATGCCTGTAATCCCAGCACTTTGAGAGGCTGAAGTGGGTGGACTACCCGAGGTCAGCAGTTTGAGACCAGCCTTTTCAACATGATGAAGCCATGGCTGTACTAAAAATACAAAAATAAGCTGGGTGTGGTGGTGAACGCCTGTAACCCCAGCTACTTGGGAGGCTGAGGCAGGACAGTCTCTTGAACCCAGGAGGTAGAGGTTGCAGTGAACAGAGATCACGCCACTGCACTCCAGCCTGGGTGACAGAGCAAGACTTCGTCTCAAAAAAAGTAAAAAATAAAAATATTAGAATGTAAACTTTTGTTTAAGGTCCTGGGACCTCTTTCAGCCTCGTCGCACAAATAATACTAATGGAGTGTCGAGCTTTTTCTCCCAAGTAGCAGAACCTGCTTCAGCCACATAAGAATAAGATGATGGTGATGGTGACGTCGGAGGCTCTGGTCCAGCTCCGGCCTGTCAGTCAGGTCGGACTGACAAGGGAGCATTTCCGAGCAACACCGAGGCCTCTCGAGACGCTTTTCCGTCTCCCTTGACTGTCATCTAGGGGCTCCAGCCTAAGTCGGCCGCAGAAGACGCAGCTTGGGGACTCCGCGTTTTCTGGAAGTCCCGGTTGTGACATTCATTCTGCTGGCTTGCTACCTCAGAACACGCCAGGCATTGGTCAGAGGAACCCCATCGTTGCAGCCCACTCCTGGGAAGCGGTGCTGCTGGGCTACAGAGATGCCCAGCTCACCCGGCACTCAGTGGTTTCTCCCTAAAGAGCACAGGGCACGTGCCGTGGACGGAAAGCTGCAGGGCAGGCCGCGAGTGCCCTTGAAGATGGGGGGCTGTTCTAACACCTCCAGGCATCATTTGGGGCAGAATCCACCTCCATAACATACTAGACGCTTTCCGGGGCTCCAGCATCCCTGGGCTTGTGGGCACATCACTCCACTCTCTGCCTGGCTGCCTTCTCTGTGTGTCAGATGTGGACAGATCTTTCTGGGGGCCAGTCTTGGGTTAACTGTAACTGTGTTCAGTTCCTTCTGGAGGGTCTAGAGCAGGGTCCCTCCTGCCTCTTCCAGCTCCCGGGGGCTCCAGAATCCCTGGGCTTGTGGGTGCATCACTGCAGTCTCTGTCTCCACGTGGGCTTCTCCTGTGTCTGTCTCCTCTTCTGCCTCTTAGAAGGACACCTATCCCTGCATTTAGGGCCCACCCGAACCCCAGATGATCTTGTGTCCAGATCCTTAACTAATTAGAGCCACACTTCTTACAACCAAGTCAGATCTCATTCCGGGTCCTGGGCTTTAGGCTATGCACAGATCTTCCCGTGGCCGCTGTTCAGTCCATCATGATTTTATCCAGTTCCTTCGGAGGCTCTGGGGGAGGATCCTTCCCGCCTCTCGCAGCTCCTGGGAGCTCCAGCATCCCCCGGCTTGTGGCCACAGCACACTAGTCTCTGCCTCCATGTGACCTTCTCCTCTGTGTCTGCGTCTCCTCTTCTGTTTTCTTTCTTTTTTTTTTTTAAGATGGGGTTTCACCAAGATGGCCAGGCTGGTCTTGAACTCCTGACCTCAGGTGATCCACCCACCTCGGCCTCCCAAAGTGCTAGGATTACAGGTGTGAGCCACCGCGCCCGGCCTCCTCTTCTGTTTTCTATTAAGGACACTGGTCACTGCATTTAGGACCACCCTAATTGAGCACAGTCTCGTCTTAAGATCCTTACCTTAATTATTAATACATCTGCAAAGACCCTTTTTGCAAACAGTCCCGTTCACAAGCACCAGGTGGATACAGATTCTTTGGCGGCGGAAGACACTCTTCAGCTCGCTGTGGTCACTACTGACATGTCCTCCTTGTACTGGCTACATCCTGACAGTGACAATGCCTGACTGGAGGCTTTCACTGTTTACCCTCTTGAGCGCCGTACTGCAGACTTGCAGATACACTCACATCTTTTCACAAAGCCCAGCTGCCATTTTAGGCAACCTAGTCACACAGGTAGCCCCTGAGTGCCAGCTGGAAAGGCCTGGTTCTGAGGCAGGAGAATCCCCTGAACCTGGGAGATGGAGGTTGCAGTGAACAGAGATGACGCCACTGTACTCCAGCCTGGGCGACAGAGCAAGACTCAGTCTCAAAAAATAAAAATAATAGAATGTAAACTTTTGTTTAAGGTCCTGGGACCTCTTTCAGCCTCGTTGCACAAATAATACTAATGGAGTGTCAAGCTTTTTCTCCCAAGTAGCAAAACCTGCTTCAGCCACATAAGAATAAGATGATGGTGGCTGGGCGCGGTGGCTCAAGCCTGTAATCCCAGCACTTTGGGAGGCCGAGGCGGGTGGATCACGAGGTCCAGAGATCGAAACCATCCCGGTCAACATGGTGAAACCCCGTCTCTACTAAAAATACAAAAAATTAGCTGGGCATGGTGGCACGTGTCTGTAATCCCAGTTACTCAGGAGGCTGTGGCAGGAGAATTGCCTGAACCCAGGAGGCGGAGGTTGCGGTGAGCCGAGATCAGGCCATTGCACTCCAGCCTGGGTAACGAGCGAAACTCCGCCTCAAAAAAAAAAAAAAAAAAAGAATAAGATGATGGTGATGGTGATGTCGGAGGCTCTGGTCCAGCTCTGGCCTGTCAGTCAGGTCGGACTGACAAGGGAGCATTTCCGAGCGACACGGAGGCCTCTCGAGACCCTTTTCCGTCTCCCTTGACTGTCATCTAGGGGCTCCAGCCTAAGTCGGCCGCAGAAGACGCAGCTTGGGGGCTCTGTTTTCTGGAAGTCCCGGTTGTGACATTCATTCTGCTGGCTTGCTACCTCAGAACACGCCAGGGTGCTGGCATTGGTCAGAGGAACCCCATCGTTGCAGCCCACTCCTGGGAAGCGGTGCTGCTGGGGGATGTGAGCATTCCCCATCCACAGGTAGCCTAGGGGCTGGCTTCTGGGCCACCTAAGCCGGTTTCTGCACATGATATGCATTTTGAGGGGTTTTAGGGATTGAGAAATCCATGCTCCCTCAGACTATGCCTACAGATCGAGGAGGACCGGCTGCGAAAAACAAAGCCTGCCATGTTCCACATGGCTTCATTTTAAAACGTAAAGTTGGGAAGAGGGTGAAATGCCTCTGAGCCATAGGAAAGCCAGCTTCAGCCACATGGAGGTCCTGTGTGGCCCCTTTAATGCAGTTAATGAAGCTTAGGTGGCGTTGCACAGAGATTCTTGTTGTGATGGTTGGCAGTGGGGGGTCTGCCTGGCTGCTGTGGACTCTCCTATGTAGGCAGCGTCCCTGAAAAAGATGGATGCAGCTTACCGGGCGCAGGGGCTCACGCCTGTGTTCCCAGCACTTTGGGAGGCTGAGGCGGGCGGACCACCTGAGGTCTGGAGTTTGAGACCAACCTGACCAACATGGAGAAACCCCGTCTCTACTAAAAATACAAAATTAACCAGGCATGGTGGTGCATGCCTGTCATCCCAACTACTTGGGAGGCTGAGGCAGGAGAATGGCTTGAACCCAGCAGGCGGAGGTGCAGTGAGCCGAGATCGTGCCACTGCATTCCAGCCTGGGTAACAAGAGTGAAACTCCATCTCAAAAAAAAAACACAAAAAAACAAACAAAAAAAACCACAGTAATATCTATGCAGCTTCACCGTGGTGCGGGTGCTTGGCAAAGCTCGTAGAACTGGAACAATAAGCCCCTGCCATGAACATGGCACTGCCAGGCTGGGCGCAGTGGCTCACTCCTGTAATCCCAGCACTTTGGAAGGCTGAGGTGGGTGGATCACCTGAAGTCAGGAGTTCAAGACCAGACCAACATGGTGAAACCTCGTCTCTACTAAAAATACAAAAACCCCACTCTACTGAAACTACAAAAACCTCGTCTCTACTAAAACTACAAAAATTAGCTGGGCATGATGGCATGCCTGTAGTCCCAGCTACTCAGGAGGTTGAGGCAGGAGAATTACTTGAACCGGGGAGACAGAGGTTGCAGTGAGCCAAGATTGCACAATTGCACTCCAGCCTCTGTGACAGAGTGAGACCCCATATTAAAAAAAAAAAAAAAAAAAAAAAGTCACTGCCAGGTACACCCCCGCAAAAAATACCACGCTCACTTGGAAAGCCCTATTGTCCACACATGCAGAATGGCTGCATCGGATTGATGTGGAAGAAAGAGCCTGTTCCTCCACTGCTTTGCAAAAGTGACCTGCAGGGTGCTGGGATGCTGACTCCATGATCAATTAGATTGTGTGCTGTGAGCACTGGCAAGGACAACTGAGCCAGGCCCCCCAAGCAGAAAGCTGCTCGGGGGAAAACGACTGGTATAGTAGACAGTACGTGTCTACCACACACCCATTACGCTAGTTCTTAAGCACGGGACGTGTGACCCTGCCCCCGTGGCTCCCTCCTGGAGGATGCTTTCTAGCTTGTCTGTGCTCAGGGGTGAGCAGTTCCCAGCTGCCTACCTCGGTTTTCTTGTTCTGTGAGCAATCACAGGACACCTGCTGTTAATAACCATCACCGGTTCTGGGAGAATAAACGCGTGGGTCAGCGTGTGCTCCAGACCCTCAGTCCCGAATGCTGTCAGCCCGTGAGGCCCTCAGCTCAGAAGGCTGCCGGCCCCTTGGATAGTCTCACTTTGCTGTTCTATCTGGGTGTCTGCTTCTTAATGCCACATCACCGCCGGGGTGGGCATCGCGAGGGCTGAGCTGGGCTTGGTAGCAGCAAGGAAGGTCGACCTGTGGGTCCCAGTGCCTTTCGCTTGAAAGCAGAGCTGCCCCGGCGGCCGGCTGTCAGCCCGGCAGGGTTCCCGCGCATGGCTGGGTGCCTTCTTACGCTCTGTTTGTCTTGGCCCGTTCCCAGCAGGTCCCCACGAATGAGTGGCAGTCCGGGCGGCAGCCTGCGGCGGGCCGAGAAGCGATGGAGACTAATAAAGGGCTGGAGAGCTCGCAGGCAGACCTGAAGCTGGTGGCGCACCCGCGCGCCAAGAGCAAGGTGTGGAAGTACTTCGGCTTCGACACCAACGCGGAGGGATGCATCCTGCAGTGGAAGAAGATCTACTGCCGCATCTGCATGGCGCAGATCGCCTACTCCGGGAACACCTCCAACCTGTCCTACCACCTGGAGAAGAACCACCCCGAGGAGTTCTGCGAGTTCGTCAAGAGCAACACGGAGCAGATGCGCGAGGCCTTCGCCACCGCCTTCTCCAAGCTGAAGCCCGAGGCGGCCCAGCCGCCCGGTCCCGACGCGCTGGCCGCCAAGGCCGCCCACGGCCACGACAGCAAGAAGCAGCAGGAGCTGACGGCCGCCGTGCTGGGCCTCATCTGCGAGGGGCTGTACCCGGCCTCCATCGTGGACGAGCCCACCTTCAAGGTGCTGCTCAAGACGGCCGACCCCCGCTACGAGCTCCCCAGCCGCAAGTACATCTCCACCAAGGCCATCCCTGAGAAGTACGGCGCCGTCCGCGAGGCGGTCCTCAAGGAGCTGGCCGAGGCCACCTGGTGCGGCATCTCCACGGACATGTGGAGGAGCGAGAACCAGAACCGCACCTATGTGACGCTGGGCGCCCACTTCCTGGGTGCGGGCCCCCCCGGCTGCCTCTCCGTGGGCTCGCGCTGCCTCAAGACGTTCGAGGTGCCCGAGGAGAACACGGCGGAGACCATCACGCGCGTGCTCTACGAGGTCTTCATCGAGTGGGGCATCGGCGCCAAGGTGTTCGGCGCCACCACCGACTACGGCAAGGACATCGTGAAGGCCTGCTCGCTGCTGGACGTCGCGGTGCACATGCCGTGCCTGGGCCAGGCCTTCCAGGCCGCCATCCAGCAGGCCTTCCGGCTCCCGAAGCTGGGCGCGCTGCTGGCGCGCTGCCGCAGGCTGGTGGAGTACTTCCAGCAGTCCGCCGTGGCCATGTACATGCTGTACGAGAAGCAGAAGCAGCAGAACGCGCCGCACTGCATGCTGGTCAGCAACCGCGTGTCCTGGTGGGGCAGCACGCTGGCCATGCTGCAGCGCCTCAAGGAGCAGCAGTTCGCCATCGCGGGCGTGCTGGTGGAGGACAGCAACAGCCACCACCTCATGCTGGAGGCGGGCGAGTGGGCCACCATTGACGCGCTGGTGAAGCTGCTGCAGCCCTTCAAGCAGGTGGCGGAGATGCTGTCGGCCTCCCGGTACCCGACCATCAGCATGGTGAAGCCGCTGCTGCACATGCTCCTGAACACCACGCTCAGCGTCAAGGAGACGGACGCCAAGGAGCTCAGCATGGCCAAGGAGGTCATCGCCAAGGAGCTCTCCAAGACCTACCAGGAGGCCCCCGAGATCGACATGTTCCTCAACGTGGCCACCTTCCTGGACCCGCGCTACAAGCGGCTGCCCTTCCTCTCCGCCTTCGAGCGGCAGCAGGTGGAGAACCGCGTGCTGGAGGAGGCCAAGGGCCTGCTGGACAAGCTCAAGGATGGCGGCGGGGGCGGCTACCGCCCGGCGGAGGACAAGATCCTCCCGGCCGCGGCCCCCGAGGAGCCGCCCGTGAAGAAGCTCATGCGCGCGTCCACGCCGCCGCCCACCAGCGTCATCAACAGCATGCTGGCGGAGATCTTCTGCCAGACGGGCGGCGTGGAGGACCAGGAGGAGTGGCACGCGCAGGTGCTGGAGGAGCTCAGCAACTTCAAGTCGCAGAAGGTGCTGGGCCTCAACGAGGACCCTCTCAAGTGGTGGTCCGATCGCCTGGCCCTGTTCCCCCTGCTCCCCAAGGTGCTGCAGAAGTACTGGTGCGTGGCGGCCACGCGGGTCGCACCCGAACGTCTCTTTGGCTCCGCCTCCAACGTGGTCAGTGCCAAGAGGAACCGGCTGGCCCCCGCGCACGTGGACGAGCAGGTCTTTCTGTACGAAAACTCCCGTGGCGGGGCGGAGGCGGAGCCTGAGGACCAGGATGAGGGGGAGTGGGGCCTGGACCAGGAACAGGTGTTCCCCCTGGGGGACGGCGTCAGCGGCGGCTTCTTTGGCATCAGGGACAACAGCTTTCTGTAGCGACGGACCCTCTCGTCTTAGAGGTCACCCCCGCGGGAGTCCGCGGGGTGCTTTACTGTACATACCCACGCGGTTGGCTCCGTTTTGAACCTCAGAGACCATCCACCGTCTTTGATGCCTAGTTGGGAAGGCAGAAAAAGGAAAGAGATGCCAGAAGTGAGAGAGAGCTGGGCGCGGGGGCTCACGCCTGTAATCCCAGCACCTTGGGAGGCCAAAGCGGGCAGATCACCTGAGGTTAGGAGTTCGAGACCAGAGAATCGCTTGAACCCGGGAGGCAGAGGTTGCGGTGAGCCAAGATCGCTCCACGACACTCCAGCCTGGGTGACAAGAGCAAGACTGTCTCAAAAAGAAAAAAAAAAAACATGCGAGAGGCAGCTTTGCAGCGGTTGGCTTTCCTCAGCTGTTCCCGGGGCCCTCCCGACTTCTGCTTGGGAATTGCCAGCGCTCCTCCTGGCTTGCCGCAGAGCTTGGAGGAGGGGTTCCTTCACAGACGAGGCATCGCACACCATTTCCCTTTCAGCTCCTCCCTGCGAGAGTTTCTCAGAAATACGGGAACATCCAGGGCTCAGAAATACGGGAACATCCTGGGCGTGGAAGGAGCCTTTCAGCACCGTCGTCGGAAGGGACTTGGAGCTCCTCTGCATCAGCGCATTCATGTTTACATCCTCCTGAAGCCGGGGCCTCTCCCTTCTGAGAAAGGGGGAGGAGACCTTTTAGCCAAAATGCCCTTCTTGAAAAGAGAGACTTTTTTTTTTTTTTTTTTTTTTTTTAAACATTCGGTTAAACACATCACAGATGATCACAAGAATGCAGTCACTTATCAGAAAGCAAAAAAAAAAAAAAAAAAAAAAGAGGTGTGGAACACCTTGTGTGTTTCACGGGTTGCCGGCAGACACTGTTCGTTCTCTGCTAAAATTCACCTTGCGAAGTTGGTTCTTGAAACTTGGCTGGCGTGGTGGCTCACCCTGAGGTCAGGAGTTTGAGACCAGCCTGGCCAACACCGTGAAACTGCGTCTCTACTAAAAAATACAAAAATTAGCCGGGCGTGGTGGCGGGTGCCTGTCATCCCAGCTACTCGGGAGGCTGAAGTGGGAGAATCGCTTGAACCTGAGAGGCTGAGGTTGCATTGAGCCGAGTTGGTGCCACTGCACTCCAGCCTAGATGACAAGAGTGAAACTCTGTTTCAAAAAAAAAAAAAAGTGGCTGATGGGTCCTGAGGTGGTTGTGTCTTCTGTGTCAGCTCTAAGAGTCCAGTTCACCTGTGCAGCCAGCTTTTCCACACGGACAGGTGTTTCGGATTTTATTCCGGGAGAGGACTGTTGAATTTTCTCTTTTAAACTCGCTCCTATCGGGGAAATGGATTCTGAAGTATTGCCACCGCAGAGTTTCTCTGTGGCTGGACTATTCTAAGTGGCTTTCATTTATTCAGGGAAACAGACATTTTCCAAGAGTGACAACTACTTTTTAACCGGGGAGGGTGCGATGGTGGGGGATACTTCCACGGAGTGACCGGCCCATCACGCCACGAAGCTTCGTGCATTGCTTGGATTCCACGGGCCGTGGGTTCTCTGCCTCCGTGACGACCAGCTGGGGCAGTCGGGGTGGAGGAGGGATGACCCCAGTCAGTTCCAGGCCGTGTTCTGCTGAGACCCTAAAAGCCCTGGGCCTCAGACAGTGAAGCAGGAAGTCCCTGCGTGTTCTTGCCTGGCGGCTTCTCAGGGCCTCGGCATTTTATCCTGACTTCTTGAGCGGGTGTGAGTCGGCAGAAAGTTATGTTCTGGGGAAACCCACGTCACCTGGCTGGCTTGTTAGGGGAAGCGGTTCCCCTGCGAACCTGCCACCCTCTGCTCTGGGTATTCTCAGCAGAAGGGCACTGGAAGCTCACAGTGGGGCCGGCTTTGGGGCTGGCTTCTGCTGTGCCCCGAAGCTGGATGGACACAGCGGGCCGCCGCCGCCCCGTGGTGGGGGGCGGGGGGGACCCTATTCTGTAGCATCAGCAACCTTCCCGTTTTCCAGATCATTCGCTTCTGATCACTCGTGAAGATGCGCGCTGCTCCGGCTGTCTTCATTTTCGTTTTAAAGCCATTGTTCCCTGCTGGACGGTCGCCTCTTTCTTGATGCTTTAAGCCTGGACTCTTGTTCAGTACCGCAGAGGAATAAATCGGCTCCTAATCCACCCGTCTGCCGCGTGTCTGTCTGCACCGCGGGTGCCCTGAACCCCCGAGCCTGGGAGACAGGGAAGGCTTTATTTGCTTTATTTTGTATTTTGTCGTCTTCGTTTAAAACAGTTTTTTCCAGGGCACCTGCAGTCGGTTCTGAGGTCCCTGTTGTCGTCTGTAAATCCTCCAGGGACCGTGTACTTTCGGGCTTGTTGGCATCAGAATATCTGAGTGAATAAAGCCGGCTCCTGGTGAAAGTGTTCTTCGGGCGTGGAGATTTTTGTGGGTTCCTTCACTTAGTGGGTGATTTTATAAACGGAGGCCTGCGGACGAGGTGGCCTGGACGAGGTAGCCTGGGCGAGGTGGCCTGGACGGCGCGTTCCCTCTCCCCTCTCTTCCTGCCTCCCTCCTCCTCCCCGGCGACCCTCCCTCCCTCCTTCAGCAAACCAGTCCTTCCCTCCCTGCCTTCCTCCCCTCCTCTCCCTCCCTCCCTTCCCCTCCTTCCTCGCCCTTCTCTCCCTCCGCCTTTCCTTCTGGGTTCTCCCTCCCTCCCTGCCTGCCCTCCCGTCCCTTCTGCCTTTTTCTCCTTCCCTCCCTCCCTGCCTTTGCTTCCTCCTTTCCTTCTTTCCTTCCGTCCCTCCCCCTTCGCTCCCTCCGCCTTTCCTTCCCTGAGTTCTCTCCCTTCCTCCCTTTGTTCCCTCCTCTCCTTCCTTCCTTCCCCCCTTCCCCTTCCCTTCCTTCCCTCCGTTCTCTCTCGGTCCCTCTCGTGTGCCTCCCCTCCGTCCCCTCCCTCCCTTTTTCCTTCCTTCCTTCCCTCTTCCCTTTCCTTCCTCTCTCCTGTCTTTCACCCTCCCTCCCTCCCCCCGTCCTTCCCTCCCTGCCTGCCTCTGTCCCTCCCCCCTTTCCCCCTGCCTCCCTCCGTGCCTTCCCATCCTTCCCTCTCGTCTTCCTTCCCGTTCTGCTCTGCTCCCTCTCTCCGGCGAGTGCCCCCTCCTAAGAAAACACGGGACCTCGAGAAGCCCAGGCAGGCAGGCGGGATGCCGGTCCCCGCGCAGACCTTCCCTTCCCGCCGCTGGCTGGCTGCCCGTCCTTGGGCATCATTAAAATGCCCAGCAGCTTTTTCTTGCACGTTTTGGGCCGAAACGGGTTCCCTTTCAGTCCTCATAACGAAGCATTTGCATCGCGGTGTTGATTCAAGTCGGAGTGTTTACACGTTTCTCCCGGCTGAGGATTTCTGGCAGGGGCGGCCGGGCGTGGTGGCTCACGCCTGTCATCCCAGCACTTTGGGAGGCCGAGGCAGGTGGATCACGAGGTCGAGAGATCGAGACCATCCCGGTCAACATGGTGAAACCCTGTCTCTACTAAAAATACAAAAAATTAGCTGGGCATGGTGGCGCGTGCCTGTAATCCCAGCTACTCAGGAGGCTGAGGCAGGAGAATTGCCTGAGCCCAGGAGGCGGAGGTTGCGGTGAGCCGAGATCGCGCCATTGCACTCCAGCCTGGGTGACAAGAGCGAAACTCCGTCTCAAAAAAAAGAGAATTCTCTGCTGCGGCCCGGGCCAGGCTCCTTCCTCACACGGGTGCTTTGTTTAGGTCTCGTTTTGTTTTCATGCTTGGACCTGGCTGTGCAGCCCTAACTCTGAGCTGGATTTTTGTCTTTTTTTGTCTTTGCAGAATTGCCTGCTTCAAACGCTTTCCACAGCAGGCCTCTGAAGGGCCAGGAAAACAGCGTGGGGGACAGTGAACAGGGTCTCGCAGGCTTTAGCACGGGGCCAGCTGGTGGGGAGGAGCCTGGTGGGCGTCTTGCTGGCACCGACATCTCGGGAAGACATACCGAGACCAGCCCGGCCGTCAAGACCCCCACCCAGGCGGCGCTGATGGCAGTGACAGGCAGACAGCCAGACGGCAAGCAACGGGGACAACCGGGGTGGGGGGGCCTGTGGCCTTCCTAGCTGAGAGCGTCAGGGGCTGAGGGCCTCCAGCAGACTCCGACCCAGGCCGTCATCCTCTCTGAGCAGCTGATCTTGATTACCAAACGGGTGTTCAGGGTTTTCTCATCACACAGAAGTCGACCAGGTAGGCAGCTGTGGTCACTCAGCACTGATCGCACACAAACTGTCCTCCGCAAGGGACCACGGAGGCAGGGCCACGCATCCCGAGCTTGAACTGTTGTAACCGGTGGGTGATAGTTCCATATTGTCCGGCCACTTTACGATGCCCCGGGTCCTTTTCTACTTGGGGGGCGGGCAGCTAGGTTCTCCTCGCCATCCTCCTTCCCAGCGAACAGTGTCTCGGGACTTACCCACAGTGACGCGGGTTTGAGATGAGCCCACGGGAGGCCCACGGCGCGGTCAGCCCCATCTTGGGCTCCGACTTTCCTGCACAGCGTCCAAGTCTCAGAAGCGCTGGGAGTTCAGCAGCTTCTTCAGCGGGCCCTGGGCTGGGTCCATTCCCAACCTCAAGGCGCATCAAGTCCGACCCCGCCACTGGGGCTGCTGGAACAGACAGGGATCTCAGACGCAGGTGCTGGGGAAGCGTCTCTGGGTGGTGGGCAGGGAATGGGCTTGGGTCCTGTGGGTCCCTGAGCCGTCACGCTCTTCTTCCTCTTGCCCGATGCACCCATCGCCACATCCTCATGGTTGCAATTCACATCAAACCTGAGTGAGGGGTTCGGAGGGGCTGTGTGGGGTGGGGGTGGCCCGCTGCTCAGAGGCACAGAGACTGTACTCCCTGGCATAGAAAAATAAATCGGCCCTGGCTGATTCTTTGTATTCTTAGTAGAGAAATTAGAGCCCCTAATTTCTGTACTAAAAATACAAAAAATTTGCTGGTCCCGGCGGCACCTGCCTGTCGTCCCAGCTGCTCGGGAGGCTGAGGCAGGAGCATGGCTTGAACCTGGGAGGCGGAGGTTGCCGGGAGCCCAGATCACGCCGTTGCACTTCGTCCTGGGTGACTGCGGCAAGACTCGGTCTAAATAATAATAATAAATTGGTGGATGGCCTCTCCCAGTGAGTCGTCCTCCGGCAGGTGGGACTCCGATGAGACTTTCTGTCAGATGAACTCCCCGTGTCTGTGCCGGGGAACAGAA